TGGCCCAGGATTGGGCAGTGTTTCGTTCTGCTGTGCATAAGGTCGCTATGGGTCGGTACCGACTCGATGGCACCTAACAACAACAACAACTGGAGGCAGCTTACGAGGACTTCCAGACCAACTGGCTTCAGCTGAGTGCTCTGCCTGATTGAGGTCTCCTCACCTTCCCCACTTACCTCTCCCACTGCTGATCTAGCTCCTTCAGACAAGACTTGCTCAGTCCTCCACATCTCAGGGGCTGCTATTTTAATGTGCCTTACAGACTGCCTTATGTCCTCCAGCACGTGGGACTGGACAAGCCCCTTGGGGCTGCTGACTTCCACGGTAGCCAACACTGGACCCTGGGCCTGTTCTGTGCTGGAAGAGGCCTGGCTGGCAGCATCCTCCTCACATGAGGGGCTGTACAGTTCCCTGGTGGCCCAACGTTTGAAGCTAATGCCGGTGACTGGGGCCTCCACTCCACCTTCCTTGCTAGGGCTTCCAACGAGCTCTTGGTTACTACGTCTCTTGGTCAAACTTTCTCGAACTGCCGACTCCACGGCTTTCTCTATTTCACTAGCTTCACATCTGTGCAGTTCATCCAGGTCTAACTTCTCAGCGTCTACCTCCTGCGAGAGGTTGACTTCAGCAACTAAGGTCATGGAGCCGCTGCTGAAGGTCTGGACTTTCTGGACATCCACGGAAAAGACCCCGGGCTCGCCCACCCCCTCTTGGGTAAGGACAGACAGCTCTTCTCTCACTCGCTCTGGAAGGTTTTCCTCCAGCTGTCCAATAACCTCTCCTAGCTGGTGTTTGGGCTCCTTGGAGAAAACTCCCTTAATGGAAGTATGAAATTCATGCGGTATTTTAATTTCCTTTTCAATGACTGTGGGCTCAGCATGAAACTCGCCCCTTTTCACTGGTTCTATCCAGTGAGAAGAACGCAGTTCCCCCTCTAGAGGGGAAGCTGGAATGTCCCATGGCTTCACAACCTTCTCTTCTGATGTGTCGTCTGTCTTCCTTTTCCGGGTCCCTTGCACAATCTCATCTTGCCATGAGTACTTGATGGTAGATTCTTCTTCAATGTGGATCTGCCCATACACCGAGCCTTCATCTCTGTCGTGGCCCCCCAGGTGCTCATCTGGAGTCGACACAATGTAACTCTGCTCCCCCTCCCAGTCACCTGCCTCTGTCACTTCTTCAACATGAGTTAAGTGATGAGGGGGCTGCTTGTTCCTTCTGTGTTGACTGACTGAGGTGATGCCTGCTTCTCCATCACCTTCTTTTTCCTCAACAAGCCCTTTGGAACCCGGAGACACATCGTCAACCTCCTCCACTTTAAACAGGGTGGAGAACTCCTCGGCCTTCTCTTCTCCTACGTAGCTCATGGGCTCTTCAACGATCTCCACATTGATGACCTTTGCTTTTCCATCTCTTCCTTTCAGACCTAGATTGATTATCTCCCCTATCATCCGCTCAGTGGAATTTCCTTTCAGCTCCACTTCCTTTGCATTCTTGCTTAAAAGGTAGTCCAGGCCAGCTTCACTGGAAACATCAATATCCTCCGTCAGTTTAGACTCCACGATGAGTTCGGTCTTTGTTTTCCTGTCAGGAAAAGGAAGCTCTTTCCTTTCCATGTAAGTGACTTTTGTGTCTGGGAAAGAATTCACAGATGCTTCTGTATCTGGAGACTGAGTAAACTGCTCAAGAATACTGGAGACAACATTTTCTGCGATGGTTTTGGTCATGGAGTCATCTTTCAGAGAGCTAGCGGTGTTACTGGTGTCCAGTCGGAACCTCCTCTCTTTAGTCTCTGTCTCTCCACCGACAGCCTTCTTACCAGGCGTCTGGAAGCCTTTTGGGGACACCTCTGGGATGCTGCCCTGGGAAGCTTCTAGACGAACTGGTATCTCTCTTTCTCGCACATTTTTCTCCTTCAGCGATTCCTTTCCTTTAGGCTTTCCCCTGATGTGCTCACTTTCCCTCTTTCTTGCTTCTTTATCCAACTTTGTAAGTTCTTCCCACCTTAAGTTTCGCTCTTCAGATGCCTTCTCTTTAGAATCAAACAATTTCTCTGCTTGCTTTGTTTGGATAATTACTGGGATATTCCTTCCTTGCTCCCTTGTGGCTTTCGCTTCTGTTTTCTTTCCCAAAATAACAGTCCTCTCATTTGACCACACATTCTCAGAAGCACCCGCTGCCATGTTGTCTTGGCGTTCTCGGTAAGTGTCTTGGGCAACGGTGGAACCTCTGGCTATACGACTGGCGGCATCACTTGCACCTTCTGTTTTGGGTCTTTCGGGAAGTGCTTTCAATTGTATTTCCGCTTTTCTTAAAAGACAATAGGTTGGAGAAAAAGTTCTGAACCCGGTTTGATTGTTGGCAGTTTTGTCATTGTCTTGCTGAACAGTGGCTCGGGATGAATATCCTGAGCCTAGGAAGCCACCTCGGGCAGCGCTTCTGATAGTAGTCTGAGGTCCAAGGTGCACCGACCGGTTAGCATACACCCCTGCGCGGTGATTTAAATGCATGGGAGGTGCTTTCTGCCTTTGAAATAGATTTCTTTCATTCTCCCTCTGTAACACTGTGTTGAAGTGTTGATAGGATGTGTTTCTGAATTCTGTAAGAATTGAGCAAACCATTTGTTAAAAATCGTAATAATCGTTACCTTTTTTCATCTTAAAAAGCATCCCCACAGATCAAGCCCCATCCATCATAATAAACACACGGCATTCCTATGTTGTTGTTGTTAAGTGTCATTGGGCAGTTCTGATTCATAGCAACCCAGCATAGTGGTTCCAAGGAGCAGCTGGTGGGTTTGAACAACCGACCCTGTGGCTAGCAGTCCAGTGCTTATCCTACAGTATCATACCAGGACAGGTATTACAATACAAATGTCATTATAAATAAAATATTCTCAATGCCCAAATTATTTTTCAGTAGTTTTTTAAACCCTGATACAAGAAAATATCGTACTACAAATACTACAAAGCCTAACACCTTTCTCCAGTTACTGATCTTAAGATATTCACCCACCTTAATAAAAACGTCAACCATCTGATTGTAGAGCACAGTACATACGCAGAAAGGCCAGGGGGGCTAGTTTTGTGCCTGCTATTTCACGATCTTATGATACTTTGGAATCATTAAATTCTACTTTGTTAAGTATGTTGTACTTATTTCAGTAGAGAAGAGCTTTATAATTACAATGTACATAAATGAATTATCAAACACCAAACCACATTGCCCCTTCTCCCCTTGGACATGGTTCTAGTTTTCACCGATTTCTATCTTTGGCCAACAAATCTTGAGACATTGACTTTTTTTTTTGTTTTAAAGTGTCAGGATTTCTTCTATTTTTATCCTTGACAGCCTTCTCAGTTGAAAAGGCGCCAATGCCGGAATCAGACCAGCTACCAACACTAGTCTGTTTTAACTGCATGGTTTGGGAATCTACAGGCAGCCAACAGGACTTCCTGCTCTGTTCAGGACCATCTGAAGAGAGTCCAAACGCTTCCTGGGTAGCCTGCCTTTAGGAATGGTGCCCAAGGTGCATAGTCACACCCCAGCCTGCTGAGCTGGGATACAGCCTTCTCTTTTCTTTGGCCTCCACTGAACTGCTAACTGAAAGCTTGGCACTTTAAACCCACCAGTCCCTTCAAGCGGGGAAAGAGGAGGCTGTCAGCGCCCATAAAGATTTACATACTCACAAAGCCTATGGAGGGTCACTATGAGTCGAAATTGCCTTGATGGCAGTGAGTTTGGTTTTGGCTTTTTGGAAGGCAGTGAAGGTCACAGGCTACTTTGGGATAGATCCCAGGATACAAGAGAGAGATCAGGCCAGGATATTCCATAGATCCTCCTTCCAGTTAAGCATACATTAAACTGAGATGTCTCAGAAGATGAACATTCAGGAAATGTGTAGGAACCAACTGGTTTTTAATGAAGGTTCAGCAAGAAAAGATCACAGGCTGATTTTGGCATGGTCAGCTTGTAGACACTCAGCCAACACTATTTTAAGCAATACTGCTTAGTAAGTATTCATAAATTCACTATCTAGAAATTCATCTCTTCATTTATTCAATACGTAGTTAACTGGGAATACTGTATAGGACAAAGAACTATTTGGAAACTCAAAGTCTAAAAAATCTAGTAAGTCTAATATTCAGAAATCTTTGTTCTAAATTTATCTTCTTTTATTATCATATATAATTGCTAAAATAAATTTAGTTTGAAAATATTGAATCTCTATACTCTTCAAGGAATCCCTGGGTGGTACAAATGGGTAACTTGCTAGGTTGCCAACTGAGTGGTTAGAGGTTCAAGGGCCACCCAGAGGCACCTCACGACAAAGGACTGGCAATCTATTCTAGCACACATGGGCTCACCATGAGTTGAAATCATCTCAATGGCAAGTGGTTTATTGGTTGACTTAAAAATGTTGGTCATCACAGCTTAGTTCACAATCCTTTTTTCTCTAAATATACTTTCTGTGTATATATATATAAGTTAAGGAGCTCTGGTAGCATAGTGGTTACGAATCGGGCTGCTAATCTCATGGTCAGCAGTTCAAAACTACCAGCTGTTTGGTCCGTCAGAGAAAGATGAAACTTTCTGCTCCCGTAAAGATTTACAACCTCAGAAACCCTGTACAGGGTCGCTATGAGTCGGAACCGACTCCACGGCACATAACAACAACAACAACAACAACAATATATATATAGGTTAGGAGTCCTCATCTGGCACTGTGGGTTAATGTGCTGGACTGCAAAGTCGTTTGAACTGTAAGTTCAGCAGTTCAAGCTTACCAGCAGCTCCCCAAAAACCCTATACAGGGTCACTATGGATCAGAACCGACTCGACAGCACTTAACAACAACAACATATATAGGTTGCATGCTATATTTTCAGACTTGTGTGTGGATACGTTTAAAAAGAAAAAAGATGGGTTTGTTGTTAGTTGCTGACGAGTCAGCCCTGACTCACAGAGACCAAAGTGTTTCCTGAACCTGTGTCATCGTCATGATCGTTGGTATGTTTCACTCGACCAGATGCCTTAGGAAACCTACAAGTCGAGTACACGCTAACTGATGCCGCCGGGCAGACTGGTGGTCACTGATCTGGACAGCTTTGCTTTTTTCAAAGTTTCTCTCAATATCAGAAAGCTTTCGTGGACACTGTCTAAGACCAAATTGCTTTTATCACAGATGATTAGCACTCAGTGACCTGTCAAATCTTTGAAATGTCATAAAGGGACAATGTCTCATTGAAAAGTAAAGGTGGAAAGTATTATTTTTAAGAAGTCTACCGTTATGGTTCCATGAACAGCTGCCTCCTATGCCGTGGGACCAGAAGACCTGGACAGCTCCAGACTACCATTATTGAAGCAGTTTAAAAGTTAAAGAACTAGTTTTTAAAATATTTACCTTGTGGTATATTTTCAGTGTGTCCAGTCCAGGTCAATATTTCTGGATTACTTTCTCCTTCCAATAAGGCTCTGTAAAAATAATTTTAAAAAAAGAATTCATTAGGAAATAAAAGATGAATCAGTGTTGCTCAAACAATGTATCCTGTCGTAGTTGGTTACTGACCATCTTGTCACAGTGCCATGGTTTGTAGAACTCACATCTGAAGAGTGTGGATAGAGTCCCCCATGTGAGCCCACCTGTCAGCCTCAGCAGACCCCGAGCCAGGCTGTGCTGGTCTGCTCACTACAACGTCCCCAGCACCCAGCAGTGTCTGCCACCTGTGGTCACTTAACACCAGCTGAAGGAATCAAACGAGCCACGCCCATCTAGAAAGCCCTTTCAAACCTAGAGCAAGGGAAGAAAAACAACACGAAGCTGGAGAGATGGGGGCCCAAGGGGGCAGGAAGGGATCTGGCTTAACCATGGGACCCCACCCTGGGCTAGGGAGCCTCAATCACTTTCAACATCCTCTGGGTTCTGTCTGGGATTGTGGGCAATAACCAGATGGACAAGGGTTACATAGATGCAGTTGGCCTGCACCTGTGATTTTCAAATGGTTCTGTAGGGTGTTCTGGAGAGGAAGAAAAGAGATGGAAGGTGGACAAGACAGAAGAAAAGCGGGAGTTGTAGACCACTTCTTCAACCACATCACCTCACTCCATCCCGAGCAGCTTCCTTTCGCACAATGGATGGAAGCCACTTGACTACTTCTAATTCTGTTGTTGGTGCTCTTGTTCTTAATAACTGTTGCATTAGCTCCTAAGTCATGGTAACCCCATTCACATCAGAATGAAACGCTGTCCAGTCCTGCTCCGTGCCCACGACTGATTACAGATCTGATCACTGTGGTCCATGGGGTTTTCACTGTCTGATTTTCAGAAGGAGATCCCCATGCCTGTCTCCCTAAATTAATTTTCTAAAATTGTAACCTATTGTAATTGTAGCCTGTTCAGCATCACAGCAAGTCTTCACCGATGGACAGTGTACCTGTACATGAGGTACATTGGTTGGGAATGACACCCAAGCCTACAGCAAGGAAAGCAAGAATTCTACCACCGAACCATCGCGGCCTCACCCCTATGATCTCTAGCTCTGAAAGTCTGAAATCCTGGAGCTATCATTAGTTGTTATCCACATCTGTGACTTAAGCAAGCTTTAATGACAGGAGATGGCACAGTAGGCTCTGGGCTTCTACAAACCAACGTGCTGCTGGTGGGCTCGCCACTGGTGTCAACTGGCCATCAAAGCAGCTGACCAGGGACTGACGGCTGGAGAACAACTGTTGTGTGGTTGCTAGAGTGATGTATGACGTCACTGAGCTGCAGGTCCAAGAAATACAAAGGGCACCAGAGCCAGAGCGCATGTGTAATGCTGACGTCACTGCTGGGAGCTGGGCATGAAAAGCACAGGGGATGCCCAGCTCAGAGCAGGAATTCGTGGCTCGGGCAAAATGGCAGCAAGTTTTGTTCCCAGTGTTCTAAATTTAAAACGGTGGTGGTTCCCATAAGTACAGGATCCTGTGGGAAGTTTAAAGATAGCAAGGAAAGCACCTACCAAAGAAACAGGCAGAGAAAACTAGAAAAATTCTGCTGCAATGAGCGCTACACCATGAAAGTTTGTTCTGGGAGCAACAACTGACAAACACATGAGTGGATGCTGAATGTTTACAGAGCCCATGGAGATGGCAGTGACCCTGCAGGGCTCCACTGGGGAGAGTGAGGAAACAGGACACCAGCCACCCTCATGACTAAGCACTTCAGGTTTCAGAAACACAAGTAGTTCCCAGCTCTGAGAAAATCCCAAGGCCTGTTATGAGGAACACTGGGAGAAGATGTCCGACTCCCAGGGCCCCCGGGCCAGGATGACAGCCACAGAGGGACCCTGTTCTGAGTTGTACATGGTCCACGGTGGGGCTTCGTAAGCAGTCAAGTTCTAGTTCAGATCAGCACGAAGCCTTGGGGAGTGTGGGTCCTCACTCAGGCCACAAAGGCTGGCAGGCTCAGGTCAGCAGAGAACAGGACTGGCAGACCTTCTGGGGGGAAATGTGCTTTCCCTATCCCACAAAAGAGAGTACTTTTGTTCCTCTTTTGAGAGAAATCCAATAGCCAAAAGAGTTCCTGGGTTTGGAAGTCTGAGTAGGATGCTAGGACACAGGGCCCCTGACCCCCAAGAAGCTTGTCGTCTGAAGGGGGCAAGATACAACTCAGAGCACCAAGCAGGCTTTGCATCTCATGTCTGTTTTTTCATGCAGCTCTCTTAGCAATCCTACAGTGCGCAGTCCATGGTTGCCTCACTTTATGGCTGAGAAACTGAAGAACAGAGAACAAGTGTCTTGACTGAGGTCACACAGCCTAACGGAGGCAGAGTTGTGTATCCAGGCAGCCTGGCTTTCATCCACTCCTGTGCATCCAGATCAGAGATGCTGGCATTGCATACACATTTCAGAAAGTACAAATTGTGCAGACAGACCCTCCATGCCTGATCTTCATGAAGACTCCATGAACAACAGAACAAAACACAGCCCAGTCCTGCACCATCAGACGGTAGATTTCAGGAGTAGATCACCAGCCTAATTTTCTAGTCCATCTTAGCCTGGAAGGTCCACTAAAATGTGTCCAGCATCGCAGCAACATAGCGCTTCCTCTGGCAGACAGGGCCTCGTGGCGCGTAAGGTGCACTGACTAGTAGTCAAACTTGCGTCTCTCCTATGGAAGGCACAAATTCTACCACAATGTTGTTGTTGTTGCTAAGTGCCACTGAGTTGGTTCCAACTCTTAGCCACCTTCTGTAGGGTTTCTGAGGTTCTAAAATCTTTGCAGGAGCAGAAAGCCTCATCTTTTTCCTTCGGAGCAGCTGGTGGGCTCAAATCACCAAACTTGTGGTTTCCAGTCCAGTTCCTATCCTACAGAGCCACCATGCGCACCCCAGATCATTAAAGTAAATTCAACTTCTTGGTACTTTTACTCAAAACTCTCTTCCAGAGCTTTCCCATAGTAAAATGAAGCTCTTAACTGGGAATCCGGCCCCACAGGATTGCTCTTGGAAGGTGGGAGCATGTATCACCTTACATGCACAGCACGACACTGGTGGTTTAATTCACGTTTTCATAGACACATCTCAACTACATACAAATTATCCCACCTCCCATCAACATACATGAGACTTGTATGTCAAAGGCATACACAAAACCTCTATGGAGATGTTAGAACTAACTGTATGAGCTCTGAAAAGCTCTTAAAGGTACATCCTCGGGAGCCTTAGGAACAGACTCCTGTAACTTCAAGAAATAGGTAGAAGGTCTTCATAGGCTCCAATTGAACCTAGCTGAGCTATTTTGAGAACGGTGGAGGAACACTACCTCTACGCTGTAACAGAAATGCCAACCCTGTGATTCACAGGTTATTACTGAACATTTCATACAGCTCCACAGGTTAGCAGCTGCTTACAGAGAAACCAGGCAAACCCGTGCAGAAAACGAGTCGACATGAATCCACAGTGGAAGTGGGCTGTGAGGTGGCCTGTGGCCAGGCTCCACGACCTAACAGGCTCCCTGTGGTCCCTAGTGAGGTTCTGTCATTGAGCACGATGGCCACAGTGCCACCAAGCAGTGTGTCCACCTTAAACGGACAGAGGGCAAACTTGAGGGAGGAGGGGGACAGGGAAACAGCATTTCCAGAAGTGATGTCCTTGAAGTGCTCACATGCTGCTTTCTAAGCTGAAAGCAGATGAAGCGCTGAAGAAGAATAAAGGGGGTATGCCGACCCCCAGAGCTGTAAGGTGTGGTGCAAAAGATGAGAAAAGCTGAGCACCAGACAGGCTTCATGGGGCAGAGCTGGTGCTGAATCCAGGCCCCTGCTCTGCCCCCCGTGGCCTCTCAGTCACAGGGAGGAGGGCTCCGATTCAAGATTAGAATCAGAAGACCAGGTGACAAGGTTGTGTCAAGTTCTGGTAATTTACTCCGTCACTTGCTGAAATCCTATTTGTCAGTATTGGAGGATGAAAATAATAGGATGATAAACAGGACTGAAAACAACTCATAAAATAGAGAGGACGCTCAGGGAGGAGTCAACAGAATAAGAAGCTAGGTTGGAATCTTGACACATCCGGTTCCCAGATCTGTGAGCTTCAACGAGCTACTTAAACCATCAGTGACTCACTTTAAAAGTAGGGAAAACAATAATGTAGGCTGATAATTTAGGTGTTTTGTTTTGTTTTTAAATGCATTTTTCCAAGACACTTAGAAATCTCTAAGACACGCTTTCTTTTGAAGGGATGCAGGAAAGGTATGTTATTGTTGGGGGTTGTTGAGTTGGTTCCGACTCCTAACGCCCCAGTGTAGAACAGAACGGACCACTGCCAAATCCGGCACCATCCTCACATCAGTTCCTACATTTGAACGATTATGGCAGCCACTGTGTCACTCGATCTCATTGAGGATCTTCCTCTTTTTCACTGACTGCTTTGCAAGTACGATGTCCTTCTCCAAGTGCTGAGCCCCCCTGCCAACATGTCCAAATACATAAACTAAGTCTTGCCACCCTCCCTTAGAAGGAGCATCTGGCTCTCCTTCTTCCAAGACAGATTTGTTCATCTTTCTGAAAGTTCACGACATCTTCAATATTCTTTGCCAACCACACAATTCAAATGCATCAGTTCTTCCAGGATCTTCCTTATTTGTCACATAGCATTCACCTGCACATGGTACAGGTTCAACTGAAAAATATACCAACCAGAAACTAAACCCATCCAATCGACGCTGACTTCTAGGGACCCTACTGGACAGAGCAGAACTACTCTTAGGGTTTCTGAAGCCGTTCATCTCTAAAGGAGCAGCCTGCCTCTTCTTTCTCCTTTCAAGCAACTGGTACATTTGAACTACCAATCTTGTGGTTAGTATAGTCCAATGCTTACCACAGAGCACCAATAGGGCCCCTTTAAAAACAAAATCACAATATAGATGGCCTAAAATATAAAGGGACAACTAGAAATATCATTAACAACATCATTAACAACACTCGATTGTGACTTG